CAGCCTTTCGAGTAGCTGGAACTACAGGCGCGCGCTACTACACCCGGCTAATTTTTGATTTATTGTAGAGATGAGGTCTCACCAAATTGCCCAGGTGGGTCTTGAACCCGCGGGCTCAGGCAATCCACTCACCTCAGCCTCCCAAAGTGCGGGATTACAGGCTGAGCCACTGAACCCGGCTCTCAGTGTGCTTTTCAACATGTCTGGTTATGTCTCTGTGGGCCCAAGCCCTGGCAAAGCATGTTTCTGTCTCTTTCTACATCTTTGTCACTGCATCTTTGTGTCTGGGTCTTCCTTAGTTCACCTCTAAGTGAACATCTTGTGAACCTCGGACCACATCTCTATACGTACCTATGAACCCGTCTCTCAGTGTACAAGAAACACACCTCTGTGTGTACTTGGAGCACTTCTCTATATGTACTCAGTGTGTATCTCTGCGTGTACCTGCCAAAGACTCCTGCCAGCCCAGTCCCACTTGTCTTACCCCAGGGCATACCTCCTCCCTAATTCCTGTTAATGAGCTCCCTCCTTCTTTCTAACTCTTTCCCTCAGTTTTGTTTTTCTGAAAACCTGGGTGGGGCACTCCTAGGCTTGGGAAAACATGGGTGGGGTAGAGTTGGGTAGGGTGGGAAGGGGCAAAGAGGAATTACTCCACCCAGTACAGAGACCCCAGAGGCCAAAGACAGCCCTAATCACCCAAGGTAGGATCTGTGAAGGTGCCAGCCTATGTGGCACCTCACTGGGAGGAGGAAGCCTGTCCTGGAGTGAGACACCCAAGCTGTGGGCCCAGGGAATGCTGGGAGTGCAAAAGCAAGGAGACACTAAGATGGTGGGGACCTCAAGAAGCTTGCCAGGTAGAACACCTTGGAGTCCTAAGGGGGGCAGAGGAGTGGGTGTCTGCCCAGCAGCTGGGGGCGGGCTCCTTGGGCACTCACCATCTCTATGGCTGAGGCTTTGATGCCAGGTTTATTTGAGGTAAGGAAGAGGGTGGCAATGGAAACAAACAGGCTCTGTCTGGGCATGTAGACTATGGAGGGTGCGAAGAGAGACCCTCTTCTCTGTGTAAGCGAGAAACTGTGGCCCAGAGTCTCACCCAGAGTCACAGAGCAGTGCAGCAGAGCCCAAGCTAGAAGCCAGACTCCTTAACCAATCCCCCAGAGAAAGCTTGTCATATCTCTGGCAGCAGGGCTCCGGATGCCAGATTACCAGGGTTCCATCCTAGGCATTTCCAGCCATGGGACCTGGGGTAGGTAAGACCCATTTGCCTTGGATCCAATCTTTATCCTGCTCTGTGCCCAGGAGGCTAATCTCTTTATTTTTTATGTTTTTTTTACAGAGAGGAGGTCTTGCTATGTTGTCCAGGCTGGTCTCCAACTCCTGGGCTCAAGTAATCCTCTGGCCTTGGCCTCCCAGAGTACTGGGACTACAGGCATGAGACAACAGTGCCTGGCCCCAGGAGGCTAATCTCTGTGGGCAACATCACCTGGGCCCTCTTGCCCTCTGGCTTCCAGTTTCTAGCTATCTAGAAAATCAGAGGGCAGAAAGGGTGAGGGGAGAAAGTTCAGGACTTTCATGCCTTCAGCTTCACTGAGTTCCAGAACAAGGCTCTTTCCTCCTGCCTCTTCTGGCTTAACGGGTAACAGCTGCTATTTTTAGTCCCCAGGCCATCCATTGTTGGTTCTCTTGAGACTGACACCATCTCTGTAAATAGTTCCTTTGTGGCCAGTTGTGGTGTCTCACACCTGTAATCCC